AAGAAGCCATCGATGAGGGGCGCCTGGGTGACTCAGTGGGTTAAAGCACCTGCCTTCGGCTCGGGTCATGATCCCAGGGTCCTGGGATCGAGCCCCACATTGGGCTCTCCGCTCAGCGGGGAGCCTGCTTCCTCCTCTCTCTCTCTGTCTGCCTGCCTCTCTGCCTACTTGTGATCTCTGTCTGTCAAATAAATAAAATCTTTAAAAAAAAAAAAAGAAGAAGCCATCGATGAGTCTTAAATAGGAGAATGGTATGACTGGGTTTGTGGTCTTCATAAATAACTCTGGACTTGGGCAATGACGGGCCCCTGTGGGGCAAACGGACTCTGGTTGCCTGGAAAGAAGGTGAGGGCAGAGACAGGGAACAAGAATACTTGTGTTGGCCTCACCCTGGAGAGTGGGTGGGGAGAGGCCCGCAGGTGCTGGGACACCGGTATCCCTGTGGTGTCCAATCCACTGAACTAGCTGCTGTCTGGTTGCCTGATGTCTTCCCTTGGGCCCTCATCCAGCCTTTTCCCTGGAAGAGCAGGTGGAGGCCCGAGAGGCAGCAGGCTGCTGTGAGGGCCTCGGAGGAGGCAGAGGGGAGGAGAAGGGGAAGTTGGGCCAGAGTCCGGATGTGACGGGGTTTCAGGGAAAGTGGCATCTGGGGTTTCCTCAGAGTCTGGAAATTCCACTCTTTCTGGTTCCCCCTAGGACCCCCCCACCCCCCGTTCTGAGATGCTCCAACTCAGGAGCCCAGTCCCTGGAAGCCCTCTCTAGGCTTTCTAGGGGCTGTGAGTTTCTGTCTGAAGGGTTGCATCTGTGATGGGTCCCCAGGACTCAACAGTCCCTAATGTCAGCACCCACTTCCCATGAGCTGGCCCAGTGCCCATGACCCATGACCCCTTGCAGTCCTCCCACTAGTCCTCGGAGGCATGTAGCTTACTTATCCCCATCGTACAATGAGACTTCCAGGGCTTAAGGAACTTGCTAAAATTCCCATAGCTTAAATTTGAACTAAGATTTGACTGACATCAGAGGCTGCTTTTAACTCTGTGCTATATTAAGCCTGTCGACCCCCTGGTTGATTGGCTCAGTAAGGGAAGGAGGCTTTGTGGGGTATTTGCTTATGGTTGGGGTGGCTTCCCCACCCCCACCCCCATCAAGCAACGGGAAAGGGTAGTACTGACGTCAATTGTTGCCATGACGATACAGCAACCTTTTCCCTGCCATCTCCATGGTAACCTGGGGGTCCATCTGTACTTCGCCCCCTCCTTCTAAAAGGGGGTTCTTTAGGGAGGGGCTAGCTAATAAGGTGTCTGAGAGGCAAGTCAGGGGAAGCCGTAATTGGAGTATGACCCTTTCCCCAGGTCCCTCCCTATTCTTTGGGCCCAGAGAATAAGATTGGGATCAGGGAGTCCTGCCTTAGGGTCTGGGGGCAGCTTTACCCTCAAGGGCGAGGGAGGCAGCTCTCTCTTTCCCACTTGGCGATTCCCCTGGAAATGCCCCCCAACCAAGTTCCTAGGCTCACAAACGGAAAAGCTGGGAACTGGCAGAGAGAGGCAAGAGGGATTCCCCAGCCCTCTCCAAGGCTGGACATCACCCAGGCCCAGGGGACATGACAGGCTGGCTCTCTGCTGCGCCTCAAAGCCAGAGGTAGGAGCAGCAGCAGCCTTTTTTGCTCAAGCGCTGTCTGTGCCTGAGACTCCTGCCTGGTGCTGGAGATGCACGCAGACTTCAAGCAGGTGTCATTAGCCCCATTTTACAGATTTGGAAATGGAGACTCAGAGAGGCTAAGTAACAAGACCAAGTTTGCACAGTTAGAAAATTGCAGAGTCGGGACTCAAATCTAAGAATTTAGGCTGGTGACTTTTCCGGGGGACAAAAGAAGAAATGGTAACAGGATGGACAAGGGGAAAAGAAATCGGTGAGCGAGTGAGTCAGGTTGGAGCGTGTCATGCTGTCACCTGTAAAACGAAGCTCAAATCCAAGGCCTCCTTGATCCAGCTTCTCTTCTGTTAGGTTCTTCGTCAGATCCCCTGAATTCTGAGCTCTGTCAGGGCCAGGGATCTGTCAGATTCAAGTCTAGGTTCTCAGCACCTGGTGTAGCCCATATAGGTAGGTGTTGGAAGAAGGTGATTGAACTGATTTCCTGGAACGCCCCCCGCACTTTCCAGCCTTCAAGCCTTTGCGCACCATATTCCCTCCACTTAGTGGAACTAACTGGCCCCAGGGTCTGACCCCTCTAGGCAAGGTGTCTGTAATGTTCGCCTCACTCACTATCCAAGCATATGGGGGATGGCTGGCAGTCAGTCTTTTTTTTTTTTTTTTCTTCTTCTTTTTTTAAAAAGATTTTATTTATTTTAGGGAGAATGAGAGAGCTGGCGGGGAATGGAGGTGGGGGAAGCGTGGAGCCCAATGTGGGGCTTGATCCAATGACCTGAGATCATGATCTGAGCATAAACCAAGAGTCAGACGCTCAGCTCAACCAAGTCACCCAGACACCACCTCCCTTTTTTTTTTTTTTTAAGTGTATGTATTTGTTTAAGCTCTACACCCAACGTGGGGCTCGAATTTACCACCCTGACATCAAGAGTCGCATGCTCTTCCAACTGAGTCAGCCAGGAAGTCCCCCAGTTTTTTTAAACTAGTAAGGAAGGAACTTGCTGAAGTGAGGTCTTCTGCCCGCTAGGCTGTATGAGTCCGTGAGGGCCAGTGCCCGTGTCCTTCAAGTTCACTGCTGAATCCCCAGTGCCCTGCATGGGCCTGGCTGATGGACTTGTACTGACTGAGGTAGGGAGAACCCAAATGAGAACCCAGTGGTCTAACTCCTGTCACACTGTCCAAGGCTTCTCATTGCCATGGAACAGAATTGCCACCCTGGCCGCTGCCACTGTCTCTCTCTCTCTGAGCTTCTTTTCCTCTCAGGGATACCCAATCTTTACATAAGCTCTCTCTGCTCCTGGAATGTGTGTTTTGTTTTGTTTTCCATTTCTTCCCATTGTTTTCTGGTGATGCTGTCTATCACCTGGCCATGCTTCCACCTCAAGGGCAGGTTCTGCTGGCCCAGCTGGATCAATTACTGTCTCGCATTTCCCTGAAGATGGTAATTGGCCAAAACAGTGCGCATTCGACTTGAAAGAAGGGCAAATCACTGCCCTTCCCAAGGTCAGGTAAACTGAGGCTGGGAGAAAGCACGTCTCCCTTCCAAATGCAATTTCCAAACTGCCACAGCCATGTTCCCTGCCCAGAGGAGATAATCAGGGATAAGAGATGAACAAAGGAACAGTCCTGGTGGGCCCAGCAGACACTCTGGTTTCTACAGTTCTTCCTTTGAGCTTAGGTATCTGGAAAGCTTTTATTCTTCCCAGCCACTGGAAACGACCAATTCCTTTTTGGCATAAGTTAACTTCATTTGTTTGTAAAGGAGAGACCTTACCAATACAGAGGCCAATAATTTTTTCTCTCTAAACTTACAGTGGTCTTCTAAGGAGGGGGCTGACTGTTTATAGGAAGGCCCCCTTCTAGCACAGCTGCAGCACTGCCGAGTAGGGCCTGCCTGGCTGGAGTTTGATGGGGATGGAAACAGCTAGATTACTCTACTTAATAGAGTGAACTGAGAGCCCCGGGCGCTCTCTAAGAATGGAGGAGGTGGGGAGTAAGGAGGAGAGAGAAGTCAGCACTGTGGCCTGAAGCCTCGGATTCTTCTGGTAGGTGAAAGGGAAAGAGAAGCGTGCGAAGACTTTCTAACACCAGGGTGTTTGAAGGACCAGGCACCGAGTGGTCAAGTCTAAAACCCTCACTTTGAAGTAGACCCTTTATTGGCAAACATCCTCTCCTCTTTTTTTTTTTTAATATATTTTTTTATTTTACTTTTTTAAAGTTTTAAATTCCAGTTAGTTAACATAGTGTAATATTAGTTTCAGGTGTACATTATAGTGACCTCTTCTCCTCTTTTAATGAGTCTCCTAAGTTTGGGACTGCCTGGGAGAGAATTAATGTGGAAACTGAGAATGGTGGTCCTTTTGGGTGAGTGTGGGATTTTGAAGTACTCTAGGGAGGGCTGGGAATTCTACCCCATGTGGATTAGGGGTGTTAGGTCCTTTGCCTTTAGATTTCAGGGGACAGGAGAGAGTGAACCTGACCTCTGGGTTATGTGTATTTTTTCCCCAATATTAAAATAATACAGACTCATTAAAGCAAAATTGGAAAGTGGAAAATACTTGTTCAGCTGAAGGCTATACTTCCAGGCATCCTTGGGTCATGGATGGATTTTAGAGTATTAAGTCTGAGGACACGGAGAAGTGTGCTAGCCTATCAACCATCATCTGCGGGAGCCCGGGCAAGTGTCTCAAGGCTCTGTTCCCTCGCCTATAAAAGGGGAATGAGAAATCAAGGTGTTTCAAACGACTTCTCTCCCAATCTTTTTCTGGTCCCGCTACTCCTAGGAGAAATCAGGCTCTAGATGGCCCCTAACCCAAGCCGCCCAGGGTCACAGAACAGCATGTAGCAAACTCTAATTCCAACTCGGGAGCATTAAATGGGCGGGTGTGGTTGGCCATTCTCTTTATTCTGAGTTGTCTGTCCAGCCCCTCCAGTCCGGAGCTTCTCTGGACCCCCGGAATCCAGCACAGCTATGCGGATTGCATTGGAAAACCCAGGAGAGGGATGAGGAGAAGGATGAGTCCAGGGGCCGAGGGGAAAGATAATCCTGGAAGGGGTCAGGATCAGTAAGAGGTTGGGTGGGTGGGGGCGTTTGGGCGGACGGGGAGGGCCGGCCTCTAGGGCTGGGTCCGAGCGAGGCCGCCGCCAAGAGGAAGGAGCTGTTGGATGGGGCGGAGCAGTTTGCGGACCGATGGACGGGACAGACATACACGGCCAGCCCTGAGTGGAAAGAACAGTTTATGCTGTGCTTTATTAAAATGTGCATCATTCTTTTATTTTAAAATGTGCATCATTGTCTCGTGCTCGGCGCGCGCGACCTCAGCGTGGTGGCCCGCGGCGGGCCTCGTCCCCGCCCGGCCTCGTCCCCGCCCGGCTCCGGCGGAGCCGCCGTGCGCAGGCGCACTCAGGTGGCGCGGGCCCGGGGGCTCCCGCCCATGGCCAGGTAGACGTCGATGGGCACGTGCAGCAGCGTCAGGCAGTGGCAGCCCGGGCAGCGTCGAAGCGGCCTGAGGAAAGCGGGGCCCGGCCTCTGCTGTTGGGACCGCGCCGGGGGACTGCACCCGGGCCAACCCGCCCCCACGGGGCTTCCGCGGTGGCGGAGGGTGGGAGAGGCCCTGACGCTGGGACAGGGTTCTGGGCAGGGAAAGCCTGGACGCAGGCGGTCCGGAGTCCCCGCACAGCGGGGACGGTCGGGGGGTGCGGGAGGGGTCGCGGGGAGGGCGCCGGCCTCACCTGACCGGGTTGTGCTCCGTGGCCACCGGCTCCGGGCTGTCCTGGGACTCGGGGGCGGCGGCAAGGCCAGGGGAGTCTCCGGCCTCAATAGGGAATCTTCGACCCTGCGGGGGCTCCTGGGCACTCATGTCCAGGCCCCGGGGCGCTCTGCGAGGGGAGTGGCGGTCAGGCCGCTCCCGGGCCGCCGGGCGCCCCCTGCCCGCGCCCGCCCCCTGGGTTGTTGCTCACCTGCCGGAGGCCGAGGCCGGTCCCAGGCTGGAAGCAGCTGCCGGACCCCTGGCCGCGGGAGGACGCTCCGGTCCAGGCGGAGCCCGGCAGGTGTCTGCGGCGCGCCGCGGCCCGGGCGTCGAGGGGGCGGGCTGCATTGTGACCCGGGCCGCGGCGCGCTGACCTCACAGAGCCCGTTCCTCTCGCTGGGAACCACCCCCCCTCCCACCCCCGTCGACTCGGGAGGCCCGGCACTCAGCGCGGCCGCGAGCCGGGGCTGGAGGGCTCCGGCCATGGCGCCTCGGCACTGGGTCGGGCGGACCCCCTGCAGCCCGATGGGGGCGCAGGAGGCGGCTGCAAGCAGCCACGAGGTGGCGTCCACGAAAAGGAGCCGCTCATCCCGGGCAGCGCGCAGACTCCCCCGAGCGCCCCGGGGCGGGCTGCGACTCCCTGCCCGCCTGGGGGACGGGGGCGCGGGCTCGGCGAGGACTTAACCCGTGGTGGGTTTGGTGGTGGTGATGGTGAGGGCAGGTAAGGGCACTGACAATTTTGGCCAAGGGTCACACAGCATTTACATCACAATTGGGCCGGAGTTTTAAAATGTCTGGCCCTCTCCCTCCCCACCACCCGTGGCTGCTGTGTCCAGACGGAGAATGTTCTAGCGCTGGGAGCGGCTGCGCATGAAGTCCTTGGGGGGAAAAGGAGCAGGCCAAGGGCGATGGTGGAGTAGAGCTGCCTCACCGAGGCAGCATGAGCTGAGAGGGTGATAGGAAGGAAGGAGGCGCTAGACAGCATGGAGGACTTTCTGCTCTCCAGTGGGTACCAGCTGGGCAAGACCATTGGGGAAGGGACCTACTCAAAAGTCAAAGAAGCATTTTCCAAAAAACACCAAAGAAAAGTGGCAATTAAAATTATAGACAAGATGGGAGGGCCAGAAGGTGAGCTGGGGCCCCTTTGGAGGAAGGGAGGGCTGGTTGAGGTGGGTGGGCACTTACTCCAGTTGGGAAGGATCGGCCCCTCCTCCCCTTTGGTCTGGAACCAAGGAGTGCAAGGGAGTTTGTGGCTCTGGGGTAGGTGAGTGGGGAAGAGGAGGATGCTGGAAGTCCAGGAATGTCGCACCTCTAAAACCCAAGATTAAAGTGGAGGGAGGTAAAGGGTCCTCGAAGGCACAACCCCAGCTTGCTGGGCCTTCCCTGTTCCCTCTGTCCCCCACAGAGATGGGCAGAGAGGCCCTGGCCTAGGCTGGCAGAGGGCAGGAGCTGCTGCCGAGGCAGGCGGAAGTGAGAGAAAGGAAGACAGGGCTCAGGAACCTCGGGTCAGGGGGCAGGCATGTGAGGAGCTGGCTCACCACACTGTGGGCAAATCAGGCCTCATACCTGAGATTCAGTGGTTTTGTCTAAAACCCCTCAAAGCACTTTGATATCTGTGGTCTCACAGGTTGCTCACAATAGTCCCTGAGGGTGCAGGGAGTCGTTCCTTTGAATAATATATTAACTACAAAAATAACAGTGTGAGCATTTTTTGCAATGTCCAAGCAGCTAGACGTTTACGATTGAATGGGACCCCAGGCACCAGAACCAGACACGGTGGGCAGACGGAAGCTGGGAGGCAGGAGACAGGAGTGGAGAGGTAATGCCCTTCCGGACTTGATACCCCACGTCTTTTCCCGTTTCCTCAGAATTTATCCAGAGATTCCTGCCTCGGGAGCTCCAGATTGTTCGCACCCTGGACCACAAGAACATCATCCAGGTGTATGAGATGCTGGAGTCTGCCGACGGGAAAATCTACCTGGTGATGGAACTGGCTGAAGGAGGGGATGTCTTTGACTGTGTGCTGAATGGGGGGCCACTGCCCGAGAGCCGGGCCAAGGCCCTCTTCCGTCAGATGGTCGAGGCCATTCGCTACTGCCATGGCTGTGGTGTGGCCCACCGGGACCTCAAATGTGAGAACGCCTTGTTGCAGGGCTTCAACCTGAAGCTGACTGACTTTGGCTTCGCGAAGGTGTTGCCCAAGTCACGCCGGGAGCTGAGCCAGACCTTCTGCGGCAGCACAGCCTACGCCGCCCCCGAGGTGCTGCAGGGAATCCCCCACGACAGCAAGAAGGGGGACGTCTGGAGCATGGGTGTGGTCCTGTACGTCATGCTCTGTGCCAGCCTACCTTTTGATGACACAGACATCCCCAAGATGCTGTGGCAGCAGCAGAAGGGGGTGTCCTTCCCTACTCATCTGGGCATCTCGGCCGAATGCCAGGACCTGCTCAAGCGGCTCCTGGAACCAGATATGATCCTCCGGCCCTCAATCGAAGAAGTTAGTTGGCATCCGTGGCTAGCAAGCACTTGATAAAAGCAATGGCAAGTCCTCCCCAATAAAGCAGGGGGAGAAAGCAAACCCAAAACCCCGCTTCTAAGATGCTGATATGTATTTTACACTTTATTTCTCTCCTGAAACTTACCTACACCCTCCCCAGCTTTACTTCTCTTTCCCTTAAAAGATCTTCATGCAACCAGAGGGCCTCATTCAGACTTCCCTTTTATTACAGCTAACAAGTGATTTTCACACAGGTGTTTAACTCAAGTTAATGAAAAATAGACCCCAGAATCATACACACACACACCGGGGGAGGAGAGGGGAAAAGTGACCAAGAGCAACTGGAACCATCGCTGTTGCAACTTCCTTTCCAAATAAAAGCAGAAGCGTTGGGAATGCAGAGATGGCCTCTTGACTCCTTGTCTCAGTGAGAGGCCTGCTAGGGGCCTGGTCTCTGCCTCACCCTAGAGTCTAAGCTGAGTCTGAGGTGAGGACAGGGGACCTCCTAGGGACCCAGACCACCCCCGCTGCCATCCCTGCCCCTTCCCCAGGCTCCATGCCAGAAGCCAGCCTGCACACTGTATTCGTCCTGCCCTGCCTCTGGGGCAGCCACTGTTGGGGACAAGAATAGACCCCCAGACACCTTCCAGCTTCTGTTGAATCTCTTTAATGCTGTTAACGGCAAGTCTGGAAAAGGTTCAGGACAAAGTTCTTTTTTCTTTCTTTTTTAATTACAAAACTAACAGCTGTTAGAATCTTTTTTTTTTTTTTCCTTTTTTCTTTTCCTGGCTACAAAATACTCTGGGGAGATGCATTATAATTTAAAATATATAATATTGCACAAACAACCAAAAGGTTAATTAAACTAAAGAAATAATTACAAAGAGAAAAACCCCATCCCGTCAAAAAAAAAAAAAAAAAAAGATTCAACATTCTTTCCATCCCACCCCCTCACTGAAGGTCTGGAGTGGAAGTGACCACCACTCTCTTAGCACACCTGACCACACTCCCTTTAGATCACTGGTGAATGCACCAGACTCTGTACCAGAATCACTGAGCAGCATCATGAAGCACCAGGGTCTCCAGGAATTCCTGCAGCCCCTCATTCCCCCAAGAGAGGAACAGCTTTACCAGAGTGGAGGGTGAGAGCCACAAAGACTGGGTCAGTCTTCAGGAAGAAGAGCTTTTGCAGAAGCCTGATGAGAGCCTCAAGAAGTTCATCCCCAGCATATCCCTTCAGGAAGCAGAAGGGCTGAGGGGGAGAAGCTGGGCTTACCAGAGTCGGAAGTACTCGGCTTCGATCGCTGCTCTGTACTGCTGGTAGCTGGCTTGTGTCCTAAGCTACAGGGGGGTGGAGGTGGGTAGCTGGTTGGACAAGGTATCCCGCCAGGCAATGCACAGAGGGCCTGAAGTGACCCCCTCCCTTCTCGGGGAGGGGAAGAAATGCAAGAGCAGACTCTTGCTGGTGGCACAGCTGGGCTAAGGACTTGGGTGCATCTGACACAAAGAAGCCCTGGGAGAGGCATGGGGACATACCAGCCTGGGCCAGCCAAGAGGAAGGAGGTGGGAACTCAGGGTTTGGTCTCTAGATTTGGAACCACGAGGAACCTTTCTGGGAATGGAAAAGGCCTGGGAGGGGGAGATTCCCCGAGAGAGGCAAGTTTCCCAGAGAGGAATGCCTCTTACTCACTGGGCTAGGAACCAGAATGTGCTTGCCATCCCGGTCTAGCCAAGGACGGTGGGATGGCCTTCCTTGCCTGCTTATGGGTGGACAGAGTGTTGTCTCCGCTTCCTCCAGGAGACTGGTGCTTAGCGTCCGTCTACACAGGTAGAGGGGCTAGAATTATCCCTTGGGACTTCCCAGCAAGAGTCCCTAAGAACAGTGGGTGTTCAGCAGAGAAATGTAGGCTCTTCTGGTGAGGGGGTAAGTCTCTTCCCCCTTGAGTCATCCTATGGTTGGCACAAGTCAAGAGTTCCTGGTTTGGATTTAGTGAGCCCCTTCCCAGATGTGAACAGAGGTCCAAAGGACCAGCAAGGAGCCACCCAGAATCTGTGCCCAGAGCTCTGGTTGAGAGAGGCCATTGGGGGGACATTCTCAGTCAGTGTCTTCCAGGGCTGGGCTGAGATGAGCGAGGGGGTGGGAGGTTCTGTGGGTGGGGGAGCAGCACGCTCTGGCTCCCCTCATTCCCAGTCCTCCCACTCTACATCTTCCAGCTGCAGACAGAAGGGGATAATGGAGAGCACAAATACATATTTACTCCTCTGAGTCAAGCCCAGGCCCAACCTCCCCTTGCTGCCTCCATTTCTGCATAGTCCCCCCCTCCACCCCCAACCTGCCCAAAGACCAGCCCATCCAATCCCCGCCAGCCTCACCTTGGGCCATACCCTCCTGGCCTCTGGGAGAGTGAACCACTGTCTTAAGGAATGTGTCTGGGGAGCAGAGCTGCCCTCTGCCTAAGTGGTGGCTCTGCTGCTCTGATTATTCCAGACCCCAAGGAAATGCTTCACCAGCCCACACTGGATGCTAGAAGGGGACACCTTGCCTCCAGGAGCCATGTTGGTCAGTCCCTTAAGGAGAACTGGAGAGGGGCACTGTGATCAGAGGCAAGGTGGCACTGGGCTCGGGCGCTCACAGGGTCTTCCTCAGGGGCTCTAGCACCCTGCTCCCTCAGCTCAAGTGTCCCCAGGGCACTTTCTGTCGGCCTGCTGTCAGCTGATCCCGGGTCTGAGAGGCGGTAGAATGACTCTGCCTACGCAACCAGCTGTCAGGTTTTACAGAGGGCTGTAGAAACACAGAAAGCATCAAGCCCCTGTGACATGAGAGGGGCTCAGGGGCCTTCTCTGCTCTGGGTATAGTGAGGTCACAGGAGCCAAAGACTCTTGGGTAGGTCTCTACCTCTCCCCGGGCTTCAGTTTTCCAATATGAAAACCAAGGCCCTGCCTGTCTGTCTCATCTGTTCCCCTCTTTACAGCAGGTTCATGAGCTACATGATGGAAGCAATCATGTGGTTCTTGGGTGACAGTGGAAGAAACACTGACTTGAATCAGATGTCTGGGCTGGAGCCTCAGTCCTGTCACTTAGTAGTTGTGAGAGCTTTTCTCCCTGTCTTTCATTCAAAATGACCCACTCGACTCTGGCAGGTAAAGAAGCCTAAGAGTAAGAAGGCCTCTGAGCTTCTAGTTGGACTGGGTTTTGTGGTGGCTTCAGTAATGTTCACTGCTACTCCCATGTCTTAGGCACGATGCCTAACATGTCTAGGTGTGTTATCTATCACAGCTTACAAGCTTCTAGGGCCAGTTCTAGGTTTTCGATGGGGAAACAGAAGCTCAGGTTAAGTAACTTGCCCTAGATCACACTGCCGTTTGCCCCAAGGCCAGGAAATCTGTTCACGTCCCATCCCTGGGGACCATGAATCAGAAGATGTAGGGCAGGGTTTGGAGCCTGCGTTTTTTTTTTTATTGGTTCCTCAGGTGACTTTCATGCAGAGCTAATGTCAGGAACTCTCCCACCATCCACCCTGGAACTTAGGGCAAGCAGAGCCTGCTGATGGGAACAATTCAGGGCCTGAATGGAGGCTCTAGCACCCTTCCCAAAGCTACCATCTCAGAGACGAGCAGGGATCCACCCTTAGGGGATGGCTGGGTCCGATGGGGAGAGTCCTCAGACCTTGGGATCATTGGGCTTGCTTCCCTGATGCCAACCAGGCCCACTCACCTCCCCAGAGGCATCCACTTTGGAGAGTGCCATCTGCACTTCTTCTTCGGTCATGTCCAAGTCAAAGTCCTTTTCCCAGTCCTCGCTGATGTCCGTGCTTGAGCCTAGAACCGAGATCCACAGTGTGAAAGGCAGGAAGGGGTATGTATGGACAGTTTGTAGCTGGGGGCGACAGCACTCTTTAAAAGGGCCTGGCAAATATACATCAAAGGTCTCACATTCTGTGGTCACTCTGGCTCAGTGATTCTCCTTTTGGGAATCTATTCTAAGGAAAATCCTGGAGTCAAAGATTTAACCAAAAGGAATTTCACTGTAGTGCTGTTTATAGGGATGAAAATTAAAAAAACAAAAACAAAAACAGAAACAAACTTGAGAGTTCACGGATAGGGAATTTTAAAAATAAATGGTGTAGTCACATAATAGATTATGAGACTTTTAAATGTGAGGCTGCAGAACACTCATACACATGGCTAAACAGTCTAAAACTATTAAGTGAGAAAACGGAAGTTACTATGGTGGCGAAGCAGTCTGGTGTGGAGGCTCCCCAGAGCCACAGACATCTTCCAGAAGACATACACGAAGAACATTTTCCTTTTCACTTACTCCACTCTACCTTCACTGACCTCGCTAGTCCTGAAACACACCAGACACATTCCTGCCTTAGGACCTTTGCATGGGCTTCCTTGTACCCAGAACTCTCTCCTCAGACGTCCATCCACAGGCCAACTTCCTCATCTCCTTCACACCCTTGCTCAAATCGTCCCATCTAAATGTGGCCTACCCTGACAGTCCTACTTTATTTATTTTTAGAAGATTTTATTTATTTGAGATAGAGAATGAGATAAAGAGCATGAGCAGGGTGGGCAGAGGGAGAGCGAGAGGCAGGCTCCCCCGCGAGCAGGGAGCCCAGTAAGGGGCTTGATCCCAGGGCCCCAGGACCACGTCCCCAGCTGAAGGCAGACGCTTAACCGCTTCACCAACTAGCCACGCAGGCGCCCCCCTGCCCCACACCATCCTACCTTATACTTTAAACTACTTGTTTTTTCCCATTGTATTTACCAACTTTCAAATATATCACATCATGAGACTGACTCTGCTTATTTGTAATAATAGAGGAACTGGAATGTGCGCTCCCCGAGGGCAGGGATCTTTGTTTTCCTTTCTCAGGTCTGCCAAGTGCCTCGAATACAGAGTTCGTGCTCAATAAATATTCATGGAATCCTTTCCTAAAGCAGGGTTGGCAGACAAGGTGCGGGGACCAAATCCAGCTTACTGCCTGTTTTGGGAAATTAAATTCTGGAGCAGGGCCATTGCCATTTGTTTCCCTATTGCCCACGGCTGCTTTCCTGTGCCGACAGCAGAGCTGA